GTGAAGTGGTGGCATTTCGGCTAAATGAATACACTTTCAACAAAAAGTTATGACTTAAATGTTACAAGGTTTATTTTACAGCTGAACAGTATCCATTATCCTATCTTAAATAACATATATGACTGAAAACTTAGTAACACAAACATATACCTTGTCATATCATAAAAAAATTCCTACTTTATGGCCATATTCAGATATCATCTAAATTAATTGATTACTTAGCGATTATCACTTTTAGAAAATCAAAATCTCACTCCTAATCGAATTCCATGTATTAAGTTTCCAACTACAGAACTATGGGTTACAGATCCGAATTTCCACTTTGATCATTTATTCACTCCGATTCAGTTTCAAAGATTCCTGATAAATGCCTCTAGTTATCAAACAAACAGTCTCAGTGGTACAGTAGACAAACTGTTTATTATTATTATTATTGTCATGAGTCGACTTCTTGTTTAAATCGATCGATTAACATGTTCGGTTATTTTTCTTCTTGAATAGGTGTGTTTCTTAAAATATATTAAACCTTCAATGTGTTCAGTCGTATTGATTTCCAATTTGACGAAAGTAAATGAACGAAATGTGAAGAAATCAATAAAGTAATAATAATAATAATGGTAATAACAATAAGCTTTATTATTACTGTCATCTTGTCGGTTCTAACTTGTTATTATTTGTTTGAAAAAAGAAATACACAATGTTTTCTTCTTTAATTATAGAAATTAGTCATCATCATTGTAACAATGATAAACAGAACTGTTTTCATTTATTAGTTAAAATTGAAATTCGTTTATTTTTGATGAAGTTTTGTTTTTGGTTGACCAAACCATTCAGCTCAAAGAACTAAACTCTATCAAAATCATCCATCTGTGTTAAAAATGATTTCCATCATGTCAAATTAGTCTTATTTTTTCGTTTAACTGTTCAGTGATTTTCTGTCTGATAATCGCGTAATGAATAAGGAATGAATGAATGAATGAGTAGATTAGACATGTTGTTGATGAATTCGGTTTTGAACATACTTTCAAGGTATCTTGGCAAGTAATATCAAATTAATCTAAGGTGAAAAGTTATTGATACAATGCAGTCTAAATTTTGTTTTATCTACAGTAATTAAACATCAATTGAAAAGGAACATCTCATTCAATCGGTTAGCTTATTATTAAAAAAGATCTATTAAGTGTTAAACGTTAGATAACAAAAGATTGAATAGTTTTCACACTACCTAAACTATATATATTCATGTAATTTATCCTGAAGAACGTCAGTCAGAAACACCTCAAGACCTATCAGGCGTATACAACACAAGGAGTGAAATATGGAGGATATTGACATGAAAGTCTTACTCACTGCTTTCTCACGGTGAGAGTGTTGTTTACGAAATTTAGAGGACGAAAGGAAAATATTCGGTGCCTTAGCCAGGTTAGTGGGTATGGAGTATCAACCCATAGGAGTTGGAAAACCGTAATTCCAAATCAATGAGCTCCAGTATCGTAAGCGGACAAATGGTCTATGAACATATTATTTGTCACGGGCTATCACAGGACTGCATCTGCTGACGTTTTTCCACTTCCATGCGGATTAAACCTTTAGGTCAAAGGTTTAGGGAGTGGCCCCTTAAAAAACCATCTCACACAAATCGAATGTATTTTGTGGTGCATATATATTTGGTGCCTTCTTGTACCAATATTTATGTGTTTAAATAATAAATAATAAACATGATGAAAAGAAAAGAAGGTAAGATACCAGTGAGGATTTCTCAATGACCAATAGTTTGTTCAACATTGTGGGCATCCTTTTTTTAAAAGTGTGAATTAACACAAAACACAGGTCAAGCAGAACTTCCTGCTACTTGACTACAGTTACCCAACATTATAAGTTTAATGAAAATACAATTTTTTCTCTTGGCAACACAATAAATTAGTCAAGATGGTGAATTTAAAAAGCAAATCACACAAACCAACTTATTATAACCAACTAATAGTTTCACTAATTAGATTGTAAATGACAGACAGTTGTTCAAATCAATATAAGCAGTATTAATGTACGTTTAAAATACGTAATAGGGGAGTAGGATGGTAGGGAGTCTACATTCATCACAGTTCTAGCCTCTATCAACACGAATTTCAAAGTAATCACACTGAACGTAATTATGGACTTGAATAAGTTGTGTGTTTTTTTGTCAAGTAGAACAACACTTTTAGTTAAATATTAGAAGTCATCTCCCTTTAAACTTATCTCTCCCACTGAGTGAAATATAAGATTTAAAGATAGTAATTAATATATTTTAATAAAATGGAGTTTTACAAAAATAATGAATTTTGTTGTCATACCTCACGAGTTCATTTTAGTTTGGTGACCAACGAAAACTAGGGAAAAAAATTGAAAGTTTGTTATCCTACGATGGTACTCTTCAAGATTGCGTATAGGCAAACTAATTGGGAAACGAAGATAGAATCTTCAAGGCTTTTCGGTGAACGCTTAACCTATAGATCACTCAATGATAAGGAGTCTTATACAAGAACAAAATAACGCTCCAGCTATCCCTGGTTTTCAATGGTTCTATGAATAAAGTTATTCCGTCATGAAAAAATTAGTTGATGTATAAGTAATCATAAGTAATCAGATCAAGTTCTATTGTACACTGTCTTAACGATTTATACTAGTTTCAATACAGTGTTTTGTTTTATTTGCCTTTAATAAAATTACTGAATGTATAATTTGGATTACAATGTCATCGGAATGAGTGAATTCGGAAACGATTTTACAGAACAATGAGGAAACAAATTCTATTGAATGTTATTATACTGTTGAAAAAACCAAGCTACAGCTGATTGATTAGTGTTATCTTCTAAAAACCAAGGTGAAACACAAGCTCAATCATATTTATAAACGCAAACATCACAGCGGCCAAATAAAACAAACAGAATTCGAGTATCATGGAATAGTTAAAGTTGACAGAGTGAGCTATTGGTTAGTTACTCAAAAGTAGGGAGATCAACCGAAAGCCTCAAGATTCCAGAATCCTTCTCTGAAAGTCCATTGAGTTCATACTCTATTCAACTCTAACGCTCTACGTTAGGTTCCTAGCTAAAATCAATTGAAGATGTTAACTATGCCTTTAGCAAACAAGTATTTCGTTAAGTTTACTTTATACGAACAATAGTGAAAGTAAAGTGTGTAAATATTATTTGTAGAATACATATGTTTAACAACTTGATCTTTAACTTAAGAGGTGCGGCTATTAAAAATTATGATTACTACTAATTACTATCATATAATCAAAAAAATATGATAACCAGTTTCGTCTTTCCGTAAATTCTATAAACAGTCACAAACAGACAAACACTAAACAAGTTCACAATAAATAAATAAACCGTCAAGTTAGGCTGCAACACTTTCAGGTGCTGGATTAGCGGTACGAGTGCGAGATCAAAAATATCGAGTTTGATTTCCAGTCGCGGGGTTATAGATGAAAACTACTGAGTAACGCCGTACTGTGACAAAACATCTGTTCAGTACTTCAAAGTTTTCAGTGGTGATCTAGCTAAGATCAGTTCATAACTTAAACTATGGGGATTCTATAATCTCCACTAATCCCTATTTATCAATCCTGTAACAATCAGTAGCATAAATATTTGAGTTTATCATATCTTAATTTGATTGGCGTATAACGTTTGTAGTCACAAAAATATCATAGAAACGACATACTTCCATTTAGAAAATGTCTAAATTCAAGCTGATTATCTCAAGATTACAAACTATAATAATATACACATTATTGTAAACATATACACACTACACAACAAAGGAATTCCATATGAATATTGTAAATAGAAAGGCCTTTATTGATTATTATCTCAATAGAGCGATGTTCAGTTACATGGGATAATTAAAATGATCTACTCGAATGTCTTATCCTACCCTCTTTAAGTTCATTCATCCCAATTTACAGATAGTCAAAAGAACAAGGGACATAAGAATGGAATCTTTTAGAATCACATAATGATCTGAAGTAACATGTACTACAAGTATCAAACCAAAGGGAAATCAATAACGCTTCAATTCTGTAAGTGAATTATTGTTTACACTATATCTTTATTTTTATATAGAATGTTACATTGTTAATAAAATACTGAACGTCACTTTAGTTAAAAAATCATTTAGAAAGTCATTACGTCAATATATATACACTTGGTATTGTTTGCTTGAATCTTTCTATCGAGGTTAAAGACTGCGATTGATCAGTCTTTTATTGGTGTTCACTCTAGTACTCGAGCCCTGCACCATTCGCTTCAAACGCCATCGCGTTATCCACTCAGCTGCTGAATGCATTCTAACTTTCAAATTTACAGTAAACGTTTGCTCAAAAGATACTTCATCTGAGTGTACATTTCTTGATGAATAAACGTTTTATACTGTATAAGATGAATTAGTCATCAATTCAATTACTGTAAACTTTAAACTACAACTTCTACACTAATACAAATTTCTATAATTCAAATAAATGTATATTTTCATTTATTATAACGATGACAAACTTGACAATGATGAATTTTATATTTTTAAATCATTTTCCAAGAATTAATCATTCCCAAATGCATTTGTTGTTTTACTTATTTCTTCTCATTGTTGTTTTAGGACTGCGATTGATCAGTCACATATTGGCATATATACATCCTGTGTGCATTGTCTTAAATCACAAGTTTTTTAAGCTAAGATGAATAGTGGTTAGCAGTGGAATCAAGGATACTCATTTTGTCCTATTTAGAACTCGTCAGCTGGATGGACCTACATCCCGAGACTCGAACGTCAACTCTAGGATGCAGATACATCCAGTTCTTGAGTCCCTAATAGGATGAAACGTGCATCCTTGATTTCACTGCTAATCACTTGTCATCTTTGATTAATTATTCCTATTAGAAATAATTCATCAGTTACTTATACACAAATAATCAATCATAACAATAAATTAAATAAGTAATTTATTTCATACTTACTTTCAATAAAATTTCAGGTTTTTCAATTTCTTCAATGGATTTATCTAAAATTGATTTTGTATTCACGCAACCCATAATTTTTCTCTTCCTTAGATTAACCACATAGTAAAAAAAATTTTTTTTAATAAGAAAAAACACGTAGTGATAAAATTAATCCCAAAATTGTTTTCCTTTTTAAGAAATATCTTATTGATGATGATGATCAAGATAATGATCAAGATGATGATCAAGATGATGATGTCAACTTTTAGTTATATATGTAGTTACGAGATAAATTTTAGTTGTTTTCCATTGTATTTTTGTAAATATACGAAATAAAATTTTGAATATTGATTTTTTCTTTTCTTCATATTATACATCATTTATCATTCAATGATGGTTTCTTTATTTTTCTTTATAATGGAATGTTGTTCATGACCTATTATAAGTGTAGAATTTATTATGTGCTTATGATTACTATTTTACATGGTAGAAAATGAATTCTGACCAATGATATATGAGATCTATATATGTATATATAAGGTATTTCGTTATATACTTCAATTTGATTGGTCAATAAAATAATTTTAAATAAGAAGTAACCAATCAAAATTTAGTATTAAGAGTAAATTTGAACGTTAGGATTCATTTCATTGGTTTGAACTAAATATTGGTAATATAAAGTAATCTTGATATTCAACGAAATTTCTTATTAATTAACAGTTTTTTAGGTGAATGTTTCAGTATAGAATAACATAGACTAACTATAAATAAAAACTTTCATCTAAATTTGATAGAATAATTTTACAGTATTTGGGCGCCGAGTTAATATGAGACATTAAAGAGGAAAGAAGTAACATTTCCTTGAAAAAGCTTGGACCACATTGCCAGGCGAAAAGTTGGATTTACTTCAGATTCATTCGCTAAGATTTTACAAATAGATTATTCTTTTTTAATAGAATAATTATATTAATTAATTGGAAGTAACCAAGAAAAATAAATGCTTGAAGCCAGATTTTTAACTAGTTGGTAATCTTAATGTAATTGCTACTTCTTGACAAATTGAAATGACTTAAATAACTGATCAGGGAGGCGTTTTTTGAGAAATTTCATACACATAGTTCCCTTTATCATTTTGAAAAGAGCAAGAACAAAGATTCTAGCAGAATACAATGATGGCAATGGCTCCAGCAAACTTCAGAAGACTGGAGTTTGGCTGCTTACTAATCACCCTAAAGGATTGTAAGGTATCTACCTGATGTCCTGTATCAACTTTTATCCACAAAAATTTATTGACAAATATAAAAGGCCCAAGGAAAAGAAGACGGTAATAACTATGGTCAATAAAATGCCAGTATATATAAATCTTAACTTGAAAGGTGATGACGTCGCACAAATTATCAACAAGAGACTGAATACAGCGCTAGCCAGAACTTATCCGGCTGCTAAACTTTTAATTCTCTATAAAGCAACATGTTCAATAACCCAATCAAAGATCGACAAGCAACCCTTTCAGGTTACCGCCAACTGTATTTATAAATTTACGTGTACCTGCCAAAGCAGCTACATCGGCCGAACTGAAAGGAGAGCATATCTTAGGTTCTTTGAACATGTTCCAAAAAGTCTTAGAACAAGGGAAAAAAAGACTCTGAACAGTGCAATCACCAAACATCTTTTTGATACAGGACATCAGGTAGATACCTTACAATTCTTTAGGGTGATTAGTAAGCAGCCAAACTCCAGTCTTCTGAAGTTTGCTGAAGCCATTGCCATCAGGCGTCAAAAACCTGACCTATGTATTCAAAAGGAGACGGTGGTTAATTTTTCCTTGCCCTGGTGACAAATATTCCTTCACTGCACCATAAATTTTTTTTCTTTTTTCTTTTGCATTTATTACATCATTCACTCTATTTTATTTTTTTCAACTATCTTTCAAATTAATAATCTTTCAACTGAACTCTAATCACTGTATTCCTATCAATGTTTATTCATTATGTAATCGATTGTTTCTAACCCACTTTTGAACTGTTGTCACAATTAATGTTGTAGAATATTCTTTCACATTAGGTACATATTTACAATATTCAGTTAGCAATTTAAACCCATTATGTAATTATGATTTTTAAATATCACAGGTTGTAAGCAGCTGATGAGAACCTACGAAATAAAAATGAATCCATGCTATTCTGCTAGAATCTTTGTTCTTGCTCTTTTCAAAATTGAAATGAGTGTAACCTAAAGTTATAGTGAGAAAAGTAATCGCTTGGATTTTGAAACAGTATTTAAAAAAAAATCATTTAGACTGATATCAATAGTGGATCTTAACCTAGAGCATTCAATCAGATTTATAGGCTAAACAAACATGATACTATTCAGCAATTTAAGTTCTACTGGAGATCATTAAGAGTCCAAATATCTGAAAGGTAACGTCATAAATTATTGCATCAGCTGAATTGGTTAGAACTTCAAACAGAAGATCAATTCTTGCAAGGCTGTAGACACGTCTAACTAAATCAATTATAGTTTTCTCTTGATTGTTTCGAAACCCAATAAATGGAACTTAGTAATTATTATTACAGAATCAAGTGAATTATCATTCATAAGATGAGATGTTTCTCCATGTAAATCCCAAAGAAAGGATGCTTAAGACAGTAAAAGAATCATTTCCTATAGAACTAAATCAACTAATTAAAAATAAACGTAGAAAATCTTCAAGTTTGTTTCACATACTGAAAATGTACGGACGTTTTTGTGGTTTGATTGTAATAAGAATCACAGTAAGATTTCATCGCAAAGCGTTCACAGATCTTATGGGACGCAATATAAACTCTGTTTAAATAAACTTCAGAGGAATTCCAAACAGTTAACAGTTTAGTACCGAACATTGCACAAATTTTTATGATGTCAACTCATCAAAACCATCTTTCAGAGCAGCATTTACAGCCGAGCGGGTTGACCTAGAATGAACCATGAATCGTCAACTTGTGCACTGTAGGGTCATTGGAAGTTCCGCGTTTCAAAGTAGACTCTTCATGTAAAGGTAACGTGTACAATCTAGTTCCAGTTTTCTTATTTTGTTTTATCCATATCTTTCAAGTGGGCAACTATCTATTATATTTCTAATCCGTAAACTATTTTTATCTCACTAATATTTTAGCTCCGTTAGCTGGATACCATCAGCAACAGCCTACTCTGAAAGAGAGCAAGTTAGCTTCCATCTGAAGATGAATTTATGAAAAGACGTTAGAGTTTGATTTAACATACACCATGGAAATCCCCAAACTGCATTACGAAGCCAGCCCTAACTGGAATCGTGAAGGGAAACAGAAAATAGGAAAGCCAAAGAACACATTTCATCATGAATTGGAAGCAGATATCAATATAATGAATAGCAACTGAAAACAATTGGAAAGGATTGTCCAGGATAGTGTTGGATGGAGAATGGTAGTAGGCGGCTTATGTTCCTCCACAATGAGTAACAGGAGTAAGTAAACAAGTAATTATCAATAGAATAAAAGATCACTCAAGATAATATAAATTGTTAGCTTCCGATAAATAATAGAAACTGATCATTCTGTTATCCTAATGAGTTGTTCATACTGTCATTTCTAATCATAATCCTCTACCGTTAAGCTTTAATCTGTTAATTTTATTCTATAATACCTTTTTTAATCTGTTAAATAAGGTCATACTCTATATCCTTTGAGTAATATTTCTCAATATGTACGTAGATATATATATATATGTCTTAATGGGTGTGCATGTCTGCCTGTTGGTATACTTTGCATTTAAATTATTTTCTTTTGAAGAGATTCACATAAAGAATCCTTAAACTGATTACACAAGGGAAAAATGAATATTGAAGAAATGATTCACCATGGCAATAGGAATGAAATGATAACTTGAATCAAACTTATGATTATAATAAAAGAAAATATTAGCATAATTATTAAACCATTAGAGTAGAAGCATTTGGGTTCTCTTTTTTTAATGAAATGATATATGCTCGGTAAATAATAAAAACGTTGAATTATAATTGATTTGTCTGGGATGTATGATCCTGTTGGGATATTCAGGAAAATATCCCAAAAATTATCCTGTTAAGCCTAATGCTATCCTTGGACATGAAATGGTATCATCTTATTGGTCAATATTTGTTTAACGTGTCATTTTCCTACTGGCCATTATTGTACAATGTTATTTTCTATTTTATGGTACGTTGTGGTCTGCTTGACTGGTATATAAACAAAGTATGTTTGAGATATAATGATTCATATATCCGAGGCTGAAACTTGTGTTCTGGACTCAACTGGCTGGGTTAGACAGGGAAGCGGGACCAATCAGAACCCTAGGTCGCTCTACGTGTTTGTGCGTCTTTGGTCTGATCAATAATTCGCTACCCCCTTAATCAGCAGCATTGTTTTTTCACAGTTATAACAGATCCCTATTAGAACGTCCGATCCTACACACCTGAACGAGTCAAATAAATGAATTTATGAATAGCAGATTGTCATTATATGACTGCTAGAATGTTTTGAATTATAGACAGTTCTTTATTTGATTTGATACTTGTTAACCGCTTCTGGAAATTATTCAGAATTTGTTGTTAGTTAGTGTATTTTGGTTTATGCTTGTAACAAATTGATCACTTACGCCTTTGATTTCCGTAGAAAATATGCCACCGACCTGAGATCTACAATCAACTCTTTTCTGGACTCTCTTTCCCATTTATTTTCAAGTGCTATTTGTTTTTTTTATGTCTGACTTTGATTCGCAGTACAATAAGTTCACTGATCTTCCTTTTCTCCTTCTGCCCTGAGAATTCTAAGTAGAGGGCTGGCTCATGACAGAGTTCGATTATTTCCTCATGTCGAAGCTTGTTTGTTCTTTGTCGCAATAGGTTGTTGTCGATGGTGTATCTGGAATATATAGTGTGTCTAACCGTTTGTACATATCTGTCCGATTTGGATGATACTTTTTGTAGTTCTCCAAGTGTAATCTCCATACAATGGGATTGTTTTGACATTCATAATGGAAAGTTAATCATTTATACAACGATATATTAATGAATAATGATTCAAATGTTTAGTAATTCCCATTACGAGATATCGGTACGGTGTGCTATATGTGTCATCAGTGAGAATAAATGTTCATCTTGTAATATCGCTGGTCAATTTAAATCAGAAATATACACCAACAGATGTTAATTCAGTGATCTGGAAGTTAAATACCAGTCACAATTCATGATGGTTAAAAGTTCTATTACTGGTTAATTCCCCAGATGAGTAATTTTGAGCGGCTCCATACTGCTCAATAGTATACTTGTTCATCATTTCCTGGTTTTCACTGTCCTAGTTAATTGTCTTTCATAATATAATCTGCAAAGTAAGAACTAATATTCCATATCAATAAAATCAGTATTGACTGAATAACAGTTTATTTTCACTTTATAAGTTCTCATCACTGTGCAACAAGAATTCCAGCGAAATTCTATGCATCATTACTGAGT